GCAAACGTTTAGCGGTGTGTTTTTTTGTCAACAAAGGAACCTTTCGTGGACTGTATGCATATAAAATGTTCTCTCTTAAGCGCCTACGAACAGTTGTGTCACTCACATGTAAATCAAGATCATCTTTGATTTGCTTGGCCGATGAAAATGGTTTACTTTTAACATACCTTGCAATTCTTCGGTCTTCTTGTGCGGTAGTCTTACGTTTTCCACCTCTTTTTTCAACTTTTGCTTTATAATTTGAGGCATTTGAAATCATCTTTGGTGAACATCCGAGAATATTTTGTATATATGAGTAAGATTTACCCTCTCTATGATGCTTCAAAATAATGTTGCGTTCTATTGGTGTACAATGACATCCTCGGTCCACTATGAACGGTTTAGAAATAGTTTTTACTATTAAGCATACACAAATAAATTAAGTATATATTATAATTGAAGTTATACTTACTTTTCCTGTTAAAATTACGAAAACTTCTTTAAATTTTATAAACTAACTTTAAAACCAATACAACCACTGCTATTTTAATGCATTCTCTCAATTACAATAAATTTATTAAAAATAACGGTATTCTTAGATGAATTGAATTCTCGTATACTCAATTTACTTACCTCATTATTGTAAATATACACATAAAAAATTTTCTTTCTTTATTATACAGAAGAAGAGTAATAATGAAAGTACGAATAAGTTTTTAGTACTGCTATTTTCATGCTCACAGTTGTACATGTAACAATTTTCTTCGCTGCATTTACAGCTTTTTTCTTGTCTTCATCTGTGATGGCTTACAACAAAACAGCTTCAGGTTTTAAAAACCAGCAGAGACAGTAAACTTTAATGATGTAATCAATAACTTTTATCAGGCTTGTCAATTTGACAATTGTCGCGGGTTTTACGGTCAACATGTATAACTAAAGCAGACAATTGACAAATCTGAGCCACCAGGTATGATTTAGATTTCCGGGAGAAGTATTTGTGAAATAATTCTTTGTTTCTACATCCAAATTTTGGAATCCTTGGATAACTTGGATTTTTACTTAGATCATAAATGACGTCATCAGGCATTTCAATTTTTACTTTATTTACACTGGCAAAGTCAACTATGGGTAGAAAATGAACATTAAAAGATAGTTGTTAACCAAGAATGCCTTTGAATGCTCATTCAAATGAAGCAAACAAATACACCATTGAAGAGGTCTGCCAATACGAATTTCAACTAAACAAATGCCAATACGAATTTCAAGTAAACAAATGTTGCCATTTTTATAGCCCCTATTTACATTGGTACCATCACAAATAACACTTTGTAAAGTCACAAGATAAATACTGTCATTTAAGACTGAATAATTTCCTTTGCAACATCAACTGCATTACTATTTTGCGGACAAATATGATCAAAGTAGACGCTGTTGAAATATGAGAAGATAGCGTAATGATCTTCTTTGTTGGAAGTGGCCCTGCTAACTTTACCGTCATCTTGTTTCACTAACCTAAAGGTTTTGTCTTTACGGCCATCAAAACCCATTCCAATGATTTCTGTTGCCAATTCTGCATGTTCTTCAACATCTTTTTGTCACGACAGATTTCTTTGTCTTCTTTATTTTGCTGGATCCAATATGTATTATGGTGAATCAAATGATATATCTTTCAGGCAAGTGTTAACAATTTTGCGTTCTCGATTGTTAACTCCTGTTCATTCCATTATTTGAAAGAGTTCTTTGTACTGAAATACATTGCAATAATTTGTATCATATCCACTATGCGAGTTGTCTTTTAAATCAGTAGCTTCGTCATATTCCTCTTTATTATCACAACAAATACTTTCTTTGTTGCTCTCGTAGGAAAGTTTTATTGTCAATGACAAAGGTTGGCATGTTTCTGCATACTTTTTCCAAACTGATTTTCTTGTTCTTTACAAATTTCCTGGTTTTGGAGTTGCTCTGTTTTTTCTTGGTCAATTTAACCAATGTAAATTTTACAATTACTCTTTTGATCAAGCTAAATCTCCCTTTCCTTAAAAAGAACTTTGATGGAACAATGGGAGTTTGATCGGTCCCTGATATCACAATTAACACATTTACAAGGACAAATGTCAAATATCTTATTGAATGAACCAAGTTGGCATTAAAACGTAGATGAAATTCTATTTTCATCAACATATTTCCTCAATTGTTTTGTATCAGTAACCAATTTTTCTAAGCTAATCAGAATCTTGTCATATAAAATAGTTGACAACCCCGCCCTCGACCATATGTTTACTAAATTATCAACCACTATATTATTTACGTCTACGATTAATGGTTCTTTAGAGAATAAGGATTGAGAGAAAGTCTTTGCGATTCTGAAGTATAAATAATGTTTGAAGACTTCTGCTTTTGTCAGTAATTGACTTTGCGAAAATTTAAAAGGGTGGCCAAATACTGAGTGTTTTGAGTCACTTCTGTTTTAAATAAACTTTTTTTGAGTTCATTATACAATCTAAAAAGGGTAGGAATAAAAAATCAGTCGAAATCCACATTTACAACACATAAAATATTTCATGTTCTCTTGTGAATATAAATATCGTTAAAATAAGCATTCAACAAATCCCATAAAAATAAATAAAAAAGAGGCCGTTAAATCACGATAATAACCAGTTGCTCCATAATACACAGGTACATACACAGAAATAAAATAATACACAGGTACATACACAGTATACACAGTATACACAGGTACATACACAGAAATAAAAAAGCGAAAGTGTTAATTTGTAAATTTTATAACAAATGGGTAGAATATTTCGAATGTTCTAAAGCAATAAAACGGACGGTTTAAAAGCAGTAAAAATCCACATGAAGTGGAAAAATCATTAAAAAAAAATGTATTAGCTCCGCATTTCAGAATATATTAGCCTCGCATGCCCTCAAATTTGTTTTAAGTGAAATTACTCAAAATTTAAATTGGTTGCACTTACCATTCAGCATTTCACTAACAAACGTTTCAAGTAAAGTAGAAGTAACAATATTTCCTTCTGCTCTATATTATTTTAATGACAAAGATGAGCCAAAAATTCTCTTATTAACTTTCAAGAACAATGCGGAAAATAAGAAATTAGCTAAATCATAGGTATATAATATTTGTTTACGCTCCGGTTAATTTTGGCTGTTGAGCTTAAGTATGTTCCGAACCTCGGGAACTTAAGTATATACCGAGCATCGGGAACTTAAAGTTATTGAAAGCTAAATGTAATTGTCATGTTCTTTGAAAATACGACGTCATTTGACGAGGAAACGTTTGTATTAAAAGTTTAGAGCTAACTTTCATCAAGCACAAAAATATTAAATTACACTACTCTTGGTAGACTTTTAAAAAACTGGTGAATGATTAAAATATATTATAAATTAAGGAATGGAAAAATGCAAACGCACAATTTGAACCCTAGCCTTAAACCCTATGTTTGACCCAAAGAAAGATTGGCTTAAACAATAAAAAAAAATTTTAAGAGAAAAATTAAAAATAATCTATCGTTTTTGAAACATGGTAAGTTATCTTAAAATAAGAATATAGCGTTTGAGAAAATTTCTTTCCTTACTTTTAAAAGAAATAATCACAAAAATTAGATTTATGAGTTAAAAAGTTGTAATAGAATAAAGCTACCCAGTGGGCACCGGATTAAAAAAAGACGTCTTTTGAACGTTCAAAAGACGTCTAAAACGTTCAAAAGACGTTTGAAACGTTTAAAAGACGTTCAAAAAACGTCTTTTTTTTGTCCCGTGCCCACTGGGTAGTAATCATTGCCTAATATAGAAAACGCGTTACTACCCGTGGTAAAAAACCCAAAATGTTTAATACTTTTAATACTGGTTTTTTAAAATTAAAATATGAACAATAAATAAAAGTGTAAGAAAAAAAATTTAATAAAAAAAACAATTTTTACGCTGCTGAGCCAGCATAAAAATATACAAAAAGTGAATTATGTAAAAGAACTGTTGCTTGAAAAATACTCGTGCAACGAAGCTATAAACTTTATAACTTGAAGACTACACTTTGATAAAGAATACCTTTTACAAAACTTACTTTTTACAAAACTACTTTAATTTTAAATTCCTCTTTGAAAAGAAATCTAGATCATCGTCAGATCATTTGACGTACGTGATCGTTTTTTTAATCTAACTTTTACAGACAATTCAGATACATTTATTCTTTCAAAATTTTGCAATGAAGCTTTATTTCGCAAAATAAAAGATTGCGTCTTTGTAGAACTTCTTTCCTCTGGTCGAACAAGAGCAAAAAAAATTTTTCGGCCGAATAAGCATAACCATTCAACGAACCCCATAAAAACAAATAAAAAAGAGGCCATTAAATCACGATAATAGCCAACTGCACCATAATACACAGGTACATACACTGTTAAAGATATGCAAATTGTAATTGTAGTTAATGCTATAAATTTTGCTTCACTATTGTTACTTGGATCATTTCGTGCCAATAAAGCTTGAGCTGCACAAACAATAAGCAACCCTAATACAACAGTAATAATATAAACACTATGAACAAAATAATATTATAAAATCAGGTCATAAAATATAAGGAATAAATAATAAAGACAGGAATATTGAAAAATTTATATCAATGTTTACATTAAAGGTAAATTCCAGTTTAATATATTTTTGATTAACACGTTTTTATAGAGTTAATAAACTAGATAAATTTTCATGTGGTTTATATAAAGTTATCAGTTACATATATTTTAAATTATTTTGTTTTCTATAACACAATGTTGCAGTTAGGATGTTTTAGTATTGACAATATAATTTCGGAATTACCTCAAAATACTTTAGTTGTAATTAAGTACTTTTACAATCGGTGTCAGTGGCTTAAAAGGCTAAGTGAGTGATTCAAAAAACTTAGTAGTTACACCAAAACAAAAGAAAATATTAAATTTAAAATATTAATTTTTTTCGAATTTCTACAACAGCGGTTCTCTGTGACAAGACTTATTGGTCTTCTATACTTTTATTCTTTATTTTCTTAATGATACATTCACTTGTAGTTTCTCTTTTGTATATATTTGTAATGTATCCTTAAATATTTTAATAAAGAACGCAAAAAAAATATATATGTAAATAGTTAGTAAGTTATGTTTTTTTAGTTTTTATTTTTATATCCAATTTTTTTTTCCTTTGAAGATTAGAAATTAATAAAATATTTTTGGCTATGAAGTAAATTATTTACAACCAAAAATATTATTTTTGATTATGAGTTCACATGCACCTCAGTACAAACTATTGCATGCATCACATTTCAACAGGTAAACCTTGCTGCTTATAATATATAGCTTACAATATAAACCTGAAAAAAAAATTTCCAAACAATGTAAAGTGTTTACCAATATTATAAATAAACCATAATATCAAAATTTCCAAACAATGTAAAGTGTTTACCAATATTATAAATAAACCATAATATCAAGCCAACAATGTTTGTAGCATAAGAACACATCATTGCTTTTTCGATGTTGTTTTCTAAAGTTACAACAACAACATTCGGTCGTTTATTAATTGATGCCAGCTCCCAATATAAGCATATTAGGACTTCAATAAATATGTACATGCCAATTTTTAAGTATTGAGAAACAGAGCTTAAACAGCAATATCTTCTACAATAAAACATTTTCCTCCTTAAAACCCATCCAACTTGATTTGTTTTTACAAGTAAAGTTCCTAGAAAAAAAAGTGTATATGTATATATATATATATATATATATATATATATATATATATATATATATATATATATTGTGGTAAATTTAATTTAAGCAGTTTTACACTAAAGTATCCCCTCAAAAATAAGCGTATGTAAAGAAGTGAGAGGGGGATATGAAAAAATTTTGCACCAATAAAAAATAGTTAAAATGTTCTTTCTTAAAAAAAAAATATACTTGTAATAAATATATATCAATTTTTACATATAATCCTGTTTCATTTTGGTACATCGTTGTATGACATAATAGAGAACAATATCTTTGATTTAAGCCAAGTAGCTTTTTATTGATTCAAATTGTTAATTCAAACTGATAACAAGTTTTTTATAATTTTCAACAGCTTCTAAAATATTGTTTCATTCTGCTTTATCAAATATTTAAACTTGTATATAAAATCTAAAAAAATGCTTTTTTACATTTTTAAAAGAAATTTCTTTTACCTTTGACAAAAGGTAAAAGAAATTTCTTTTAACAAAAGCTTTGAGCTCTTTTAAATTAATAGAAGAGAAGATTTTCCAGAATTAAAAGCAAATGGCTTTCCCACATCCAGTAACTTAGATTTTTCATTTTCACAAAGTTTATTAGAAACGAGCCTGACACCTCTTCCATTAGATACCAAAAGTGCCTGTTATAAAAACATGTTGAGCTTCTTGAGCTGAAGCACTGAAGCTTGAAATTAGTTCCCGAGTTCCAAAACTTTTGTATAACTAAATATCATTAACTGGCGCATCAGAAACTTTTATTGCTTTTAGTCTTTAACTTTGTACAACAAGCTTTAATTTTACTTCATCAGAATCAAACAAATTTTCTTTAAAAATTATCATCGGTGCATACAATGAATCTGACATTTAACCTCGCATGATGATTTACTAGTTTTTCATCTTCAAATCAGCAGTTTTCTTATAGTCAACTGAACTATTCCTTTATAAACCCCCCTCCTCTCTTCGTCACAATTTTGTAACTCTTTAGTAACAAATCCTGTATGAGTTATCACAAAATAAAAATCCCTCCTCCCTCTCCCCTGTAGAGCGTGCAAAATTTATAAACAACTCCTAAACCAGATGTTTTATTATCTGGTCTCCGGCCGGATATCCCTAGCCGTTAGTCAGTGAATGACTAACAACTACAATCATATAACAGACCGTTATATGATTAGACGGAACCTAATAATAATAACAATAATAATTATAAATATAAACAATAATTTCTTCTTCCATTTAAAAATAATTTGTCAGATAATTTTAAAATATTGCATCATCACAGATTGACACAAACTTAATGATTCAAATTAGCAAGGTAAATACTGACTAAATTAGACCAAAACTTTAAAGGACAATTATGAGATTGTATAAAAATCAAAAGACGCTTTTACTAGCACTTCTTCTTAAAGGCGTTTATCATCTTTTGAAGTTTCTAGTGCTATGCATTTTTTTCCACAGCTACAATGCTTCACAAACCATATTGTTTCTGCCCAACATATTCAGCTTTGAATGTTTATAGTAATCCAAAGCCAAGTTTGACACTCAGAATTTTATCAATTTACTAGTTAAAATTTTGACACTATTTTGCTGCTTTTCTGTACAATTAGGATATTTTATTATATATATATATATATATATATATATATATATATATATATATATATATATATATATATATATATATATATATATATATATATATATATATATATATATATATATATATATATATATATATATATATATATATATATATATATATATATATATATATATATATATATATATATATATATATACAGAGTCTCAGAAAATTATCCGACCAAATATTTTTTTAAATTTTTTTAAAAGTGCTGTATTTTTGTATATTTCGACTTTTTTGGTAAACTCAAGATTAATAAAAATAAAAGATGCTTTTAAATAGATTTTATTTATTTTAGTGTAAAGTATGAATCGCAAAGTTTTCAGTCTTAAAATAAAGGAACTTAAGTCGTTTTTTTATTGTCAAAAATATATTCGACCAAACATATTTTTTGTTCCATAATAAATTATTAAATAACAATACAACTATTTTAATACTTTGTAGGGCCTCCCTTTGGTTTGATTACAGCGTCTAGGCATTGGTTCAACTAAAGATTTTGTTTCTTCTGGTTGAATCTTTTCCAAGGCTTCTTTAACTGTCACTTTGAGGTTATCTTTTTTAGAAAATGACCGATCTCCAATTTTTCGGCCTAAAACTTGCCACAAATGTTCAATGGGATTAAGGTCCGGTGATTGTGCGGGCCATTTCAAGACCTCAGCATTATTTTCAGCAAACCACTCCTTGGTTTTATTAGCACTATGTTTGAGATCGTTATCTTGCTGAAATGTAAAATCAGATCCTAGCCGAAGTTTTCAAGCAGATGACTTCAAATTTTGCTTTAAAATGTTTCTGTATTGCTCCATTATAGTATCAATAAATTGGAGTTTTCTGACACCCTTCCAAGCCATTAAACCCCATACCTTCACGTTACCGCCACCATACTTGACATTTCCTCTCACGCAGCTTAATTTGTAGGCTTCTCCGGCTTTTCTCCAAACATTATAGGCTCCATCAGATGACTTCAAGTTGAATTTTGATTCGTCGCTCCACAGGATTTTTTTACAGAAACTTAACAGCATGTTTTTGAACTTCTAAGCAAACTCCAATATTCTTTTCATGTGTTTCTTACACATTTTTTCATGTGTTTTTTCGTCCTTGAAATCCCAAATACGATTTCTGACTGTCTGATGGGATAATTTGATTCCATAATTCTCTTCAGCTTGCTCAGTCAGTTTTCGAGCAGAAATAAAGCGATTTTTCTTGATTTTTATAATTAAGTTTCTATCAAAACACTTAGAAGTTTTTTTTTTGCGACCCTGTCCTTCTTTTATGGCTGTTGTTCCGATCAAATTATACTTCTTCATTATGTCGGATACTGTAATATGAGGAATACCTGTCTCTTTCTGCACCTGAAGATAGTTTTTACCCTGATTGACTAGATCGACAGCTAAATTTCTCTGAGAAACAGTCCAGTGACGTTTACCTCCAACCATTTTACTTAAAAAAAACATGAAACCTTTTTTTTATACAAAACTTTTTTTTTACTCAAAAAAACAGTTTTTTGTTATGCAATTTTATTAACTGTATAAAAATTTGCTAAAATATTTCAACAAATTTCACATAAAGTTAATTAAACTTACCTAATATCGCATTGTCGGATAATTTTTTTACAAGCCTGTTTAATACTAAGTTTCTTTTAGGACAAATAATAAACCAACTGAAACATGAATCAAAAAATATAAACGCTAAATAACATACTATTGTAGTTTTACTTAGCGTAAGTGAATTGTAGTGAGCTGACCAACGTGTATCCAAAAGTCGTTTCGATGTAGGCCTTCGTAATAGAGTAAAGTATGACTTTACTCTATTACGAATGCCTACATCAAAACGACTTTTGGATACACGTAGGTAAGTTTCATTGGTGTGTTAAAGCAGAAAAAAACACAAACAGTTTTTGAACTAAATCAAAAAAGATAAACTGCAACTGAACAGCTGTCGACAGCATTTTGACCAACAAAACTTAGACAATGTCTATAACATGGAATGTATTCAGCTAAACTGCTTTCTTTGCGAATCCAGGCTTGCATACCATTGTAATTTCCACTCATATTTGATGTATTGTCATACGATTGACTTCTAAAGTTTTTAATACTTATGCCAGTCTTTTCTAAAAATGAAAGTAGTATGTTTGCCAAACTGTCGCCAGTATGTATATCGGAATAAATTTTATAAAACTTTCAACTGGTCCGCTTGGTATTATTTATCAAGTTATCAATGTTAACTGGTCTGAATGCAAAACATCCGTTGTTGAATCTACTGAAACAGAATAGTATTTTGCATCTTTTATTTCTTGAATGAACTGCCTCATTAACTGATCACTTATAACTCAAATAAATTCATCACTATAACTTATAACTCAAATAAATTCATCACTATAACAACTCAAATAAATTCATCGTTCTTGTTGACAAATATATGTGGCTTCTATCTTTGTTAGCGCGTTGTTAAATGTGTTCTGAAATAAATGGATCATACTCTGCTAGTCACTTCAAACATCCTAAATAATTTCCATTGTTTACAGACCCAATAAATTCATTTCAACGAAAAGCAAGACCTCTCGCCAACAATGATTTAAATACACTTAAAATCTAGACATGTACTGTTCTATACCAGACTTTTATCTATTTTTTATCTTTTTTATCTATCTTTTATCTTCTTTTTTTTATCTAGCTTTTATATAAATAACTTTTTCAATACTACTTGTGTACAAAGAATTGAATTTATAGCGACTGCAATCCCATTCTTCCAATTGCAATAACTACTAGTTGCTAAGAATGTTTCTTCAGCTTTTGCAAATAGTTTACAATTATCACATAATATCTTACCAGATTTTGGAGAATAACAAAGCTAATCACGCTGAACATTCTCACCGTTTATTTGTTCCCGAAAAAAAAAAAGATTTTAAACAACGTCGTTTACCTAGAAATATACCTTTTAACGAGCTAAAATTTGCTGCTTTCTATGTGTACGACAATAGAAGCCTCCTCAGATTCCGCCTTAATACGGCCCTGGTTGTATGAGTCAGGAAAACATGAAGATGGGAGATAGTTCTAAAAGTTTGCAGTGCGGGGAAAAAAGCTTGCTTTATTTATAAAGAGCAGCAAACACCAAGTATCAATAAAAGAAAAATCTTTTCACCATGTAAGGGGTGCAATTGCCCTTATTGCCCTCTATAGATTCGCCCCTGATTCTGCCCCACTGTGCGTATGCTTAGAAAAACTAAAAAATGATTGAAAAGTTAAAATATAAATCTTTATTTATATTAGAATTATTATTAGTCTATAATATGTTACAATACAATTAATAAATTATAATTATATAAATTATATATGATAATTATTATTATATTATAATAATTAATTTTATTAAATATATGAAAATGATGAAAAACATTATAAAAAATGAAAAGTTATAAAAACTAAAATAACTTTGTTTATTAACAACGCGTTTTTGTCAATAAAAGTTGATAAAAATACTTGCTATCTTTGCTATTATTTGAAATTGTGTTATTTTTATAAATAAAATATAAATATTAGTTTAGTCGATATAGACAATAAAATTAAAGAACCATTGTTTGAAAATAAAAGTATTTCGTAAAGTATAAATAATCATAAAAACTATAAATACCTATGTTCGTAACCAGCGTAAGACCTACAACAAAAGGCATAAACTTGCATTTAGTTTCTGTCGGTTTCATTATAAAATATATTGGCATGGTAAAAAACATTGATGCACCAATTAATGAGATGTAGCATAAACCTTGATTCGAGGAACAAATCACAGGAGAACCTTTGTTAACTTTATACAAAATGAGGGTCAAAAGTATAAAAATATTGCCCAGTCCTGTTAAACATAATAGCGTAATAGCCCAATAATCTGTCATTTTTAAATAAACAGTTATAATTGGTTTACAATAACTTTTGTCATTACTCGCAATGTAATTTTCAGGACATTTTTCGCATGTACTGCTATTAGAACTATTAACATAAGTATTTCCAGAACATAAAATGCAATCCCAACAACATCGAGAGTTGTAAGTTAAGACATGTCGTCTAAAACCTAGATAAATAAAATAAACTTGTAAAAAGTTACAAATAAAACTCTCTAATATTTAACGTTCTAAATGCCCTAAATTTTGCGCAATCGGATGCAAGGGTATCTTTTATATAGTAATAAACAGAGAGCAGGTATCTGCGAGTACTCTTTCGGGCGCGACACTAAAGAGGTTTTTAATACTTAATTACATATATATATATATATATATATATATATATATATATATATATATATATATATATATATAATATATATACATATATCGTCCCTTAGCTAACAACACCGCTTAAGTCATTTTTACCAACTTTACAGAAGACGAAAAAAAGCCAACGACTTGTGCGGTGTTGTGAGGCCAACCGACTTGAGCTTTGTCACTAGTTTTCGAATTATGGCTTCTGATTTGCTGAAATCTATATCATGTGAACAGTGGTTAGATGCGCAATGAGCAGCTCCATCGATAGGAATTAAAATGTAAAAACTGCCAATTTTCGACTTGAGCGGTGTTGTAAGCTAAGGGACAATATATGTATTTTTAATTTAAAAACTTTATTTCAAGTTGATTTTTACAAGATAGTTTTAGTTAACACTAAAACTTATTTAAATCAACACATTTAACTTTATAGACACATGTTATAAAAAAAATTACAATTGCTTCATTAAAAAAAAAAAAATGTCATGAAAGTTTACTTTTATTTACGTTTATTATACTTTTATTTTTGTATGTAATAATTTTTGAACTCTCTCTCTCTAGAGAGTTCAAAACCCCTCTCCACTCTCTAAAAATCTTTAAAAATGTTTTAAGGAGGGGGGGGGGACAAAATTGTTGCGTAAAATTGGGGGGGGGGGGGTCAATAATCCGTGTTAGAACGCGTTATGAGGTAGGGGGGAGGGTGTCAAAAACTGCGTGACGTAATTTATAAACAACCCCTTATTTATGCAATCTGTAAGACTGTCTCTAAAGTGATCAATATAAGATTTTAACATAAAAGTTGGTAAATCACCACTAGTTTTTTTCTTATTATTCATAGACCCTATAGTTTTTATAATATCATTAGGTGTGATTTGATGGAACTGGAAATTAAAATATATATATTATAAAATAAAAAAAATATAATTTACGTTTCAATCTAAAAAAAAAATATTTATAGTAATACAATTTTAGCTAAAGATATAAGTCAGTATAAAACAAAATTTTAAAAACGACAATTTTTGAACCCCCTCTCTCCTCTCTAAAAAACCTTTAAAAATGTTTTAAGGGGGGAGGGAGGTGACAAAATTGTTGCGTAATTATTTTTTTATTTTTTTTTGGGGGGGGGGGTCAATAATCTGTGTTACGATAGCGTAACGAGGGAGGGGGGAAGGGTGTTAAAAACTGCGTGACGTAATCAATGAGCAACCCCTTATTTATGCAATCTGTAAGACTGTCTCTAAAGTGATCAATATAAGGTTTTAACATAAAAGTTGGTATATCACCACTAGTCTTATTCTTATTATTCATAGACCCTATAGTTTTTGTAATATCATTAGGTGTGATTTGATGGAACGGGAAACTATGTGTACACGTACTAAACTTTTTCTTTATGTTTATTATAATGGGATGATCAATATACTAATTATTATACAAATATACTTTTTGATAGCTGCATTAACTGAGTCTATAGAGCAAGAAAATAAAGACGAATGTATGAAATCTGTACGATCAGATGGCACTGCAACATTTATGATATAGTTATAAAAATATTAATCAATAAAGAGTTTTCATAGATGATGATACCGTTTTAATGGTGGATTAACAAGTTTAACAAATCGTCAGCCGAGTACCAAATAGCCGTATGCCCATTTTGTAAGTTGCCGAGAAAATTGAGTTTTAGATTTTAGTATGTGAAGACTTTTTGTCAAAAATTTCTAATGATTTATTTAAATATTTCTTAAAGTTCCATTATTTTTGAGACCGTTATTTTAGTGTACACACTCCATTGGTTGACAAATATTTATTGATATTAAACAGAAAAACACAAAACGTGAATATATTTTACATGTCTTTAAGACGTCTTTCACACTTTATATATTTAATAGAATCCAGCAAATATATATAAGCTTTTAGTTTCACAGTTTTTATATAAGTTATTGAGTCCGATAAATTGTTGCCATTATTTTAAACTAAAATCTTGCAATCGAAATGTTTTGTGTTCGAAAGAGAATTTTTCGAATTTCAAGATCTATTTGGTTTTTTTGTTTGTATTCATTTTTTTTTATTTTGAGTGTCAAGTCGACAAAAACGAGCATTTTCAACGCCACTTTCTTTTTGCATTTAACTGAGGTTACATTGAAGCTGGGCTATTTCTACCATAGAGAAATCGAAAAACTCGTTCAACGTTGGGAGCAAGTCATAACCAACAACGGAGAATACATTATTGATTAAATTGATGTTATTTTATGTTTAAAAATAAAGTTATAAAAAATAAAATAAAGGCAATTATTTATCGGACGATCCAATATAATTAATATTGCTATTTAATCTGACCTTTTTTACATTCTGAACTGCAGGTTGATATGGGATGTTGATCATCTTTTGTATTCCACTTGACCTCTCCAAATAAATTTAAACGCAACGAATCCTTTGAATGCCAGATTCCTATGTTTTCAAAAACAAATTGTCCACTTTTTTTTTTTTGGTAATTCCATAAATAATATTGAATTGATGTATCTCCATCTGAATCAAACGATACGGTTTGATTGTATAACACAAATCTTACATTTTCGAGTTTTGCTAATAGTTTCTCACCGTCAATTTCCGAAATACTTCGCTGACAAAATTTGTTGTTACATTTCAGTAAATTGTGTAGTGCATGTGCTACTGCATAAACTGCATTAATAGTTGAAGAAATCTTGTAAGGTGCTATTTCAAAACTGTCAGAGAATGTACAATTTTCCACTGCACTTTTTTTGCATAATAATAATCTCTGTTTAAAAAAGTCAGGAATTTCAGGTTTTAATGGACTTATTCCCAACATACCTCTTAATAATTTTTCTTTTCCCAATATAGTTGTTTCTTTAATCCAAGTGTCAGTCGTAATCCATGTGAATTCTCGAAGCTTTCCAACACACAAGTTCAAAAAATAGCGAGCTTCCTTAACGCTTGAAATGAATACAATAACGTTTGTTTTATTTATTTTGTTTAAATTGGAAACAATTTTTAGCATAGCAGTTTCATCATGGTCATTTATAATTTCATCCATAGCAATACAAATTGGTTTTGAAGTAAACGATAACACCTTTTTCAGAAATTCTAAACGTGCTGCTTTACCATATTCATCGTTCGATACTATAAGAACAATGTAGTTCCATCCAAATTTATGAATAATATCGATGATCATTTTAACTAAATAAGCATCTGAAGGAACAGTGCGCAAGAAGTATTTAAAACGTTTACGGTTTCCTAAAAGAACACTTGTAGCTGATGGGCTAATGACAGGAACTTTAAAAAGACCAGCAAAATCAGCAATGGATCTTGCAATGTTGCTTGATTCTGGACCAATGATAGCTATTGTCAATGAGCTTTCATTCGAAAAAGCTTTTTAAAAAAAAATACAGTATTTTAAAGCATTTATACACACATTTAAATTCTACTAATATATATATATATATATATATATATATATATATATATATATATATATATATATATATATATATATATATATATATATATATATATATATATATATATATATATATATTATACATACATACATATATATATATATATATATATATATATATATATATATATATATATATATATATATATACATATATATATATATATATATATATATATACATACATATATATATATATATATATATATATATATATATATACATATATATATATATATATATATATATATATATATATATATATATATATATATATATATATATATATATATATATATATATATATATATATATATATATATATGTATATATATATATATATATATGTATATATATATTTATATATATATATATACATATATATGTATATATACATATATATGTATATATACATATACATATATATATATATATATATATATGTATACGTATATATATATAATAAATGTAAGATAATCAAACTGTTAAGCATCAACTACACTGCAGAAATGGTAAAAAGTAACTTCTTTAAATTATATAAAATTAATTGTAAAATAATTTTTTTTTTCAATTTTTGGTTTTCAATAAAAAAGAGATTGAAAAAAAAACAAGAAGAAAGGCCCTCAAATTAAAAACAGGTTAAAAAAGGATTTGTTTAAATTTATGTTTAACGTTTCATATAGATTTCCTCTTTTACAAAGTGTTACATGTGTAATTTTATATTATTTTTTTGTTAATGCAAAGTTGTTTTTAAATTTTTATAATTTTAAGGATGCCTAAATATTTTTTATTATTTTATTTAAACAAAATTTAAATCTACTCAAAGTTCAACTAATAGTTAGACAAAAGACATTTATATTGTATTTTAGCATTTAGTTTTAACTATATCATTTGTTTATTAGGTAAAATTAGTATTTACTAATTTAGAAAAAAAACATGTTACAAACTTTAAAGGTTTAGGTTCATTCGTCTAAGTCCAAAATAGTGCGTCTATGGATGTTCATTGGACTCCAAAGACGTACCATTTTGGACTTGAACGTTTTTGGAAATCCAAAAACGTCCAAGTCCAAAATAGTACGTTCTCGGACGACCATTGGACTTACTTTTACGCATGTGTGAATATAAAAATTTCTAAAAATGTTTAGTTTAAAAGTTGTTGATTTTTCAACTTATTTGATAACTATAACTATTTAGTTACAGTTAACTTATGGTTCAACTATGTTTATTTTGTGAGCTAATGACCATGAGTCTTTATCAATCTTAAAATTGAAATCAATAAATTCGAACTTTTTTATACTAATAATAAAACTACATTTCTTTATTTTTCAATATAAACTTTGTATTTTGATCTAGAAGACAAATATTTCTTGTTTACATATATATATATATATATATATATATTATATATATATATATATATATTATATATATATATATATATATATATATATATATATATATATATATATATATATATATATATATATATATATATATATATATATATATATATATATATATATATATATTATTATTATTATTATTAAAAACTTGTAAAAAAAGGTAAGGAATTTGCTCATAATATGTTGTGACTCTATATGGTATTTAAATTTGGTTCAATTTTTAATATATATATTAAGAAGAAAGTAAATTTACAAGCACTGCTTATTATAAATGCATAAAAGGTGAACATTGAATGTTAGTTTGTAGCTATTGCATTTTATATAAGACTGAAATATTTTTGTTTACAGTAAATAGCAAAAAGCGAAACAGAAGTACATTGCTCATTTTCTCCTATTTATTATTTTCAAATGTAATTTGCGGTTGTTTTTTATTCTAATTTAGTTTTTTTATGTATGACTTTTTTTATGACTTTCCAAAACTGATTACAAGTATTTTATTATAAATTTTCATTGTCTTTTAATTTGTTGACTTTTTGGAAAGCAAATTGAAAAGCAAAGTTTCTTTTTTTTTGCTTTTGAATTTAAATGTTTAAAACATGCTCTATGATTGACAGACAATTTTGTGATAAATATTATTTCTTTAGATACTATTATTGGTGACAAAATTGGTTATGATGCAAGCAACATCAAGGGTACCATTGGCAACATATTAAGACGAGCCAAAAAATAATGTTTCGGCTAGATTGTATTTATATATTAATATTGTCAAAAATATTACTCTTTTTTTTTTTTTGTAATGATTTGTGTTAATACTAGGATTTAATTATTTATGAAGTATCCTTATTATTATCCTAATGAGGGTTGCCACTCGTGTTGAATCCCAAAAACGCATTTATATTAAATGTGTTTTTGGGAAACAAAAAGACTTTTCTTATATCAAGACTCTATTTTTTATAGTTGCTAGAAATGGATTCGGTATGAGAATGAGCTGAATAAAATTAAACACTAAAATTTATTTTGTTTGTTCAAATTCTTTCCGAATATGATTCTGTTTTGAAAAAACTTTTAAAAAAAAGCATTTCCGCTTCTAAAGCTCTTCAAAATGAACTGTTTCTTCTTTACTTCGTTACTTCTTGTTTTTAAACCTCGAGAGTATTTGCAGTTAGAAATTTTTCCAGCACTATTTTTTGCATTTATAGGCAATTCAACAACTGACATTTCAAAGATCAGAACAGTAACTGTCCAACAGAAATTAAAATGTTGACATATTTGGATTGCCTGAAACCCACTTAAGCAAGGACGACCGTATTAATGTTTTACATTATGCGGCTGAATAGCTCTTGACAACCCTAGTAAAGGTTACATTATACATGTTACGACCCTAGTAAAGGTTACATTATACATGTTACGACAACTCTAGTAAAGATTACAGTATGTGGCTGGATAGCTCAGTTGGTTAGAGCGTCAAACGAAAAGTTAAAACCCGGGTTGTTGCACGATACTGGTTCATATCCTGCCACTGCCAACTCAGCGCTTGAGCAGTATTCTGTACGCAAAAATGTTGGTCAGTAATGGACGTTACTTCAGATTAGTCTTAATAACTATTTTTGGCTGTTCCTATGCTAAGCCAACAATACCTTCGGATATAACATTGTATATAAAAATATAGCCTGACAATTCAAATAAATAAAAAAATAACTTGCCTAATCTATTTTCATAACAAATATCTAAGCTTGATCTAATAGAAACAATATTAATGGGAGATCTCAATGTTAATTATTTAAAACCAAATGATCATATCAAAATAAAATCTATGCTACAATTCCATGGTTTCAAACAACTGATAAAAAGCGCTACAAGAACAACATTAACATCATCTATCTTAATTGATGTAAACTATGCAATTAATCTAATTCCTATATCAAAATCTTTGGTAATACCAATATCCTTTAGAGACCATGATCTAACTGGATGCATTCGCAAATCCAATCATACTAAACACAAATCAAAAATAATAAAATGTAGAAATTTTAGACAAAACACTAAATAGGAGTTCTGCTTTCAATTAATGTATACAAATTATGAACTAACATGAAACAAATAACTTTAACATGTCTTGATACCTTAGCCCCAAATATTGAAAAACGCATTCGAGGCAAACCATGTCCATGGCTTACATGGTAAGTAAAATACCATATGAACATATATGACAATCTACTCCGTAAACAACGTAAACCAAAGTTAGCAATTGACAAACGGCTTTTTAAAAACAAGAGAAATGAAGTAAACGCTATTAGAAAACGATTAAAACAGAACTACCACCAAAATATACTATAAAAATCTGTAAATTAACTAGTATGTTTCTGGCGTAACATTAAAAATATTTACCCTTTCAAAACTAAATCTTTAACTACTAGAACATTTGTTATTAACTCGTATTCAACCTCTAATCTTTGAGAAATATCATCTGCGTTTTGTAAACATTTCTATAATTCGGTATATTTTTCAAAAAAATATACTTTTTAAAAAAAAAGACTGTGTATGGGCAATATCACATTGGGAACCAACTTGTACATACAGGTCTTTTAAATTTATAACTGTAACGGTTGATCAAATAGAAATATAATTATGAAGCTTAAAAACAAAAAAAGTCTAGACGGTATATCACCATCAATACTGGAAAACAGAGCTAACATCGTGTCTAAACCACTTACTCATATAATAAACATGTTTTTAAATTTATCAACCTATCCAACTTACTGGAAATGCTCGAGACTTTCCCCAATTTACAAATCATAGTCCCACAACGACATTCAAAACTACCGACCTATATCTGTGATAGTAACTATACCAAAAATTATCGAGCAAGTTGTACACATCCAATTATCAAATTATTTAGAGGAAACCAGTTTGATAAATGACAACTAGTACGGTTTTCGACGCAAATGATCAACAAAACTAGCTGCAGCGCTGTTTATAGATAACATAAAACGAAAAATTGACAAAGGTAAAATAGTTGGGGCAGTATTTCTTGACTTGTGTAAAGCATTTGACACTTTAAGTCACGGAATACTAATCAACAAGCTTAACATTTATGGTGTTCGTGATACTGTACTCTGCTGGTTTAAAGATTACCTATTTAACAGATCTCAAACAATTTGTTTTCAAAACACAATATCTGAAACAGGAAAAGCTGTAGGTGGTGAACCTCAAAGATCAATCAAAAGGTCCTTTTATTATTCATTTTAAAATGGGCCTTATAATTTGGCCCTTGTATTTTTTTATTTACTTTAATGACCTGGTACATTGTTTGAAACAATTAAAGTTTATTATTTATGCTGATGACGCGGTCATATACGTTCCTGGAAAAGATATATTTGTTATAGAACCACGTCTTTCATCCGATCCGATCCCTCCACGTGCTTCATCCGGAAGAAATCTCAAAATGGTGCATAAAAAACAAGCTAATACTCAACCTTGGCGTCGGTAAAACGGAGTTCATGTTGTTT